CCATGGGAGGGAACCCAAGCTGGAGCAGGGGAAGAGGAGTCCTCCCCCTGAGGAGGAGGAGCGGCAGAGACAGCGTGTGATGAACTGACCACAGCCCCCACTCCCTGTCCCCTGTGCCACTCAGGCTGAGGGGGTAAAGACATCAGGACTGAAGTTGAGCCTGGGAAGAAGGGAAGAGTGGGGGGAAGGTGTTTTAAGATTTAGGGCTTATTTTTCATTATTCTACTCCAACTTGATTGGTAATAAATGAAATTCATTTTCCCCATGTTGAGTCTGTTTTGCCCATGACGGTAACTGGTGAGTGATCGCTGCCCTTATCTCGACCCACTGGCTCAAACCAGCAGAGGAATAAGCTGCACATGTGGAAGAAAAGTAACAGGAGTGAGACATGGATGAGGACCCAGTACCAGCTTGGGGGTGGGCACATTCCCTATCACAGGATGGGAGTCCAGGACCGCAGTGAGCTGATCTACATTATTAGTCACAGCAGCTTCCTGAGCACCATGTTTTTCTCCCCTGCTTCTCTTCATTAATAATGATGGAAAAACGTTTCCATCCCTGGAAACGTTCAAGGTCAGGTTGGATGGGGCTCTGAGCAACGTGATCTGGTTGAAACTGTCCCTGCTCATTGCAGGGGTTGGACTAGATGACCTTTAAAGGTCCCTTCCAACCCAAACTATTCTATGATTCTGTGATGATGCTCTGATCCCTTCCTATGTGAGCAAGTCATTCCCCACAGCTGATCAGGACTGAGTGTCGGCACCAGCTGGCAAAGTGCAAACAGCTCTGAATTAAGCTGCTGTAATTTTGAATGGCTTTCCAAGCTCAAAACCTGCTAAAGTCCTCAAGTTCAGCAGAACATGTGCAACCTTCAGGATCAAGGGTCAATACACAGAGCAACACTTTCTGCCTCTGACATTGCTTCAGGATGCTTCCTAATATAGCACTCCATCTGGAGAGCCTTAAAAATGAAAAAAAAGGGGGATCCTGAATGAACCTTAGTACAACCTTCCCTTTCAGGAGACATGAACGCAGGATTCAAATTAAAAGAAAGTTTTTCTAAAAAGTGTGTGACACAGTGTCCTGGCTTGTGACACTCATCTTGGAAATAAGGAGTGATTCAGTCAAGAAACAACATGCGATTCATTAAAACCTCAAGCAAAAACAGAAAGTCAATTTAAAAAGAAATTATTCTAATCTGAAATAGAAAGAAAAACAGGACCTGTGTGTTAAGACAGTCTGATAGCCTTACCCACTAAAACGCCTCAGAGATTCACATTGTGCTGGAGGAATTAGGCAACATCAGTTTCTCACAGTGTCCTCCCTGGCTTTAAGAGTCACAGGGAAAAGAAACGAGCCCTCGGGATGGTATCTCACTGCCTTAAAGGCACTTGGCTCTCCTCACATCTCCTCGGCTCACTCCCCAGCACACCTTCCAGGAGCAAACGCGCTAGAGGTCCTATAGGGACAATTGTCCTCTCCCCTGGCTGCTCCTGACTCAGTTCTTTAACACAGCTTATTTTGCTCATGGTAGAAAGCAGCAGTATGTGACCGTGTACCTTAAAACCGTTGCGAAAATCTGTGCTTTACTGAAGCACAGGAGAATTTTAGCTGTGATTTCAGGAGGGCCAAAATTTCAGTTTGATTTTTTTCTTGCACTTGCACAGACTGTGTTGGTCTAGCAGTTAGCTGGAGATGGTGCATTAGCTGGTGCAAATGGAAGCAATGATGAGAAAAGGAAAAAAAAGCTTTAAAAATATTTCAGCTGAACGCTTGTTTTCTGTGGGAACACATTTGGTAGCTTGATGTAGGCCTTCCTTCCTGAATTTTGACCATCAATAAAATGTACATACATTTATATGGGTTTGAGCTTCCTAGAACTCTGTCTTGGCTCCCCTCCTCAGGCCAAGTTCCATTGCTCAAGCTTGCAGAGAGGCCCTCCTCCAGCTGTGCGAAATCTTGAAAGGCACCTAATGAATTAGACATTACTAATATTCTCTTCCAACATCAGAAGACAGTAATTAACTCTTTGAAGACTCATCCTAAACACTGCTTTATAACTTTCAGTCCTCAGAGGCGGCTATGTAATCTCATTGTGATTTTAAAGAATGTCTTGCCAGATTAATTATTTTTCCCTGTTTGGAAAAAAAGCTCAAAGTCCTGGTTCTGCCTTGGAGTGTGCATCAGTGACATTAGATGTGGCCGAAAGATTTCAGAGCACGAAACACGATATGCTGCAATACTTTCCAATTACAAATTAAAAGTCACCTCACCACCCTGGGCAGGAGATGACTGCAGCTTGAAAAGCTATCAATCAGGCATGCTCACTTTATGGGCTCATAAATGCAGCATGATGGCTGAGCTACCTAACACAAAAAAAAGAAAACAAAAATCCAGAGTTGATAATAGCATGCTGCGCAGATGCCTTAAGTAGGTCATTCAACATGCCAGGCCTCTAAATGTTACTTGGGAGTGAGAAAACATTATTTTCCCACTTCAGCTTGACTTTCTCTTCCCTGTCATGTGGAACTAACCTTTTGTGCTTAGTACTATTATTAATTTATTAGCCTTTTGAACGTCTAAATTGTTTTGCAGTCTATGGACTACATCTAAGTGCTTGTTGAGGGACAGTGGAGCACAAACACGTGTGTGTGTGCATCCACATACATGTATGTGTACTTAGAAGAGCAGATCTGATGAAAGAACAACTCCGCCTATATACTTTTGACAGTGAGAACAGCAGTTTTCTTCAGCACAGAACCGCAAGGAGTGTATATTTGCTATAATTAAATGTCAAACCTTACAAGTGATGACTATGTAGAAAAAGTGCTAAGTATATTTCTACTGAAATCAATTAAAGGAAACAATCATTTTCTTTCCATTTAGATTACATGACACCAGCACAAACTGCTGCAGTACAGTGCAGCTCTGTCAGCCCGGTCTTACTGCGTGAGCAACTGCTTTCTGTTTGCCTAATGGAACAGTCCTGGCATTGCTTTTCCTAAGAGATGAACTCACCGTCAAACACTTCTGTGCCCAACAGGGAATCCCATATACTTTCAGCAGATACGAGGTTTGAAACAATCCCCTGAATAACTTTATGTAACAGGACTTAGATTGTGTCCCTGGTGTTGAAAGTAGCATGATCTATTTTGTGTCTAGTAACAATACACATAACTTCTGCAAAGCAGGCTCCAGCTCAGCACATCTTACTGCAATACTAGAAGTAAGTCTTTTCCCAAAATAGTTCTTGATTAAAACTGTAGGAGGCATCATAGGTGGAGTTCATCTGATGTACTGTGGGTATTTAAAAGTTAGTGATCAAGGACTCTCTCAAAAGACAACAGAAAGGGGATGACTTTCCCATCCCAGACTGGGCACTGAAGAGGGGACACATGATTGCCCTATGGAAGAACCATTCCTCATGGGCTATAAAGGCAACTGGTGACTAGCTTGGATGTCATCACCCAGCTTTTAGCGAAATGAGCTCCACCCTGCATGTACCACATTGACACGACCTTTCTTTGACTCTCCATCCACTCCAGTGTAATGCCCGCACATGCACCCAACCGACATTTCCTTTCCCTGTGCAAAATCCAGCATTTCTTTAGAACTGCTGTTCTTCTTGCTTTGAGTCACTGCTCCCATGGCAAAGTCCAGGTACCTAACATGGAGCTATACAGCAGGTATCTGTATTGGGGACCTGAGTTCCACAACTGTTTCCACCTGGGTGACTCCCTGTGGCAGGGCCCTGCAGGGGAACCAATTTTCCTAAAAAAAAGGTGTGTAGGAGAGAAGAATATTCATGGTAACCCAGCCAGGAGGTTATTCTCCATATGCATCCCTGGACTACAGGGTTGAACTCCAGCACATTGCCCTGTCAGGAAAAGATCTACGTGTTTTTGCTGTATGCAACCTTGTCATGGCTAATGGGGGAAGGGGGAGTCCCAGGAAGCTAGCTGAAGTGACAGGTTCATGATTTTAAGAAGGAAAGAATACATTTTGGCACAATGTATGTGGCATAATCTTGTCCCATGAAATCACCGTCAACAACGCCTGAGCAGAATCGTCATCACGGGACTGTAGCCGGTGGCATGTTGTAGGTAGGGGAGATGGCAAGGGAGGGATGCTGAAGTCAAGGCTTGGAAGACATCTTATGAACAGAGAAGCAATAAGTAAGAAACCCCAAACCAGCTTGCAAGCCCCAAAGCCCTTCTTCAAGTCTGAAGCAGAGTTAACAAGCTTCAAGTCAGAGGTAAGTTGACAAGCTGGAACCAAACCTGATTATAATTCAGCTCTTTCAGACTCCAGCACAGACAGAGGGGGACTGTAATCCCATTGCATCTGCTTTTTGCCGTGGGTATTTTGTGCCACACTTGGTATATTAATGAGCACAAGGAATGCACTAAAAATTAACTCAACTCCTTTGAAAGAAGCATTTGTAAGATGGTCCAGTGGCTAGAGAGAAACTAGACTCAGAAAAGTAAAATTTGAGTTGTGTTGAACTCCTGTTACTATAGAGGCTGAAACTATCTGGTAAAATACTGAGGTAGCCTTGGTACATTATCAGGTGAGATACCCTAGATATAGCTGAAGAAAAAATGTGTTACAGCAGCTAGAGGATCACAGTTAATGCTCAATAATCTATAAATCATTGTTATGAGATTTCTCTATGCAAATGAAATTTATATAACCCTCATCAATCTTAAAAAAACCATCATAAAGATTAAATTCTGCAGCCACAATGCAAATTAAAGAATCCCTTAACCTGTTTTCAAGATAGGTCCTGATAGCTAATTAATTTTTAGATGGAGTGTTCTTTGAAAGGACTAATGGATAGTGAGCATTGCTGATTGATTATAAAATGAGCAGGAAGGTTTAAGAAGTGAGCTGTGAATGTAAAATCACTACCAAGCTTTATTAACCTTCCCATATTAATACTCTAAACCATGCAAGTGAGAGAAGCAGGTATTGTATTAATATAATACTTTTGCTGCGTATATCTTATTTATTTAACATCAATAAATTTCTTTTAGTTGGGTTATGCCATGCAGATCCATCAGACTGTCCTCTGACCTATATCTTAGCAGGTGAGAGACTAAACCTCACCTCTGAGGAATCCAGAATCTAGATTCTATCAGACTATAAAACACAACTTGATACATTATGCAATGGGGGAAAAAAAGCCAAAAACCAGCAACTGTGAAGAAAAGGAAAAGAAACGTAGTTCATAGGTCACCCTGCTAGGACTCCTTCTCAGAGCTGCAAATCGACGGGAATTTTTTATTGAGCCATCATTAACGAACAAGCGACAACATTTGTTGAAAGGCCAGTTAATCTGCAATGACCTGAAAACAGCAAGAGTAAATTGGGGGTTGTTAAACGCTGCAAACAGTCTGCAAGAGTGTGCAATCTCTTGGTGAAAGAAAGGGGAAAACGAGAGCTGTCGCCTTACCCGTTTCCTCAAATTGCAGGTGAGGGTGAGATTCCTTGAGAAGGAGTTTGCAAAAGCAGTATAGAAGTCCAACACTTTAAGCAAGGCTTCTCGTTTAATAATATGTAAATCGCAGTATGTCAGAGCCCGTACATTGGCACATGCGTGGGCCAGACTGGTTTCCTTCCAGAAGATATCACCAAACACATCACCTTTACCTGAAAAACAGCAGGATGAATTTGTTAAAAGGTAAAGCTTATGCAGTGCTCTTCAGCACACAAATGATTGCTTCCAATTATTCTAACATAAGCTCCCAACTGTGAAAACTAGTAAGGGTAAAAGTTTTAAAAGTATCTGAGGTACTTGAGTATCCTTAGCAGTAGCCCCAGGTTTTTAGAGGTATTTATAGATTGCTCTGTGAAATGTCACAAAGCATAAAAGCCAGATCGTAAAGGTCTCCTTGAGGCTGAAGATTGCAGATAATAGATTTTTCAAAGGCTCCTGAATACAATAAGCACTTAAATAATGCTCAGGTGATTGAATATTTCTGAGGGTCTGTTCCTAAGTGACTTAGGAGCCCTGCTCTCATCAAGAACTTGTGACATCTAGGTTCCTACATCACCAAGGCTTTGCAGCATGGTGCAAGACCCATCTTCCAGGGCCCAAGGACCACACTTTAAATGATGTTTAAACATTTCTACTTCCATGTGAGTGGCAAACTTCTTCTGAAAACCCACCAAAAACTGCCCTGAGACTTCTAACCTCTAAATACCAGGCTCTAATTCTTAAACAAATCCAGAAGTCTAGTTCTAAATCCTACACATCCACTTAAGTAGAGGCTTATGTTTAAGTCTGTATTTAAATGTTTGCTGATTAAGAAAGGGTTTGACACCTTAGAAACCTGCACACATAAATAACTTCAACCAGATGTGAAAATTACACGTGAAGGCTATTTCCACATTGGTAGGCAGTGTAGCAGAACAGCTGATGCTGAGGACCTGACCTTCACCCTGCACATTTTGAGGACTTAGGACTAGCCATAGTCCAGTTCCATGGTCAGAAGAGCTCCAGGGTTGGAAGTGCATGAGAAGTACTCCTCCACATCCCCCAGTTTCCTTTTCTCTGTGAGGAATCCACACTCCCAGACAGCCATGCTAGACACCGATGCAGAACAAGCGGGGAGGATCAGGACATCGGATTCTTTCAGGTTTGGACCCCATGGTTGCTCTGAGAAGAAGTAGCAGCGGAAAGCGCCTTGAAGCACCCAAAGCTGCCTCTTGCTGCCCAGCTGCTTCCCAGCCACGGTCTGGGCGAGGGCCATGGCATGCGTTTGTGGCTGACACCTCAAATCCTGAAGCAGAAGCCATGGTACAAAGGGCATGTTTTGTTTCAGAACCCAATGATATCAAAGCTCTTTATTTTAGCAGTTATTAAAAGGAAACTGAAATCAAACAGTTAGTGGTGATATCGCTATTGATTTCAGGTACCTCAAGCAGCTCCTTAGTGAACATTACTGATTTTGTAGTTTTGGGATCAAAAAGGTAATACATTTTGATATTTCCTCTTTTAATTACTCTAGCATTTCACTCAACTCTATTTTGGGAACACAGACCAGCGTAAGAATTTATTCAACCTTATAACTTTTGGGGTCAGAGGCTCTACTTCTCTATTTCCATTTCTGCTTTAGGTATTGGATCCAGTAAGACCTATCCGACATTTTTCATCTAGAGTAAAATAAAATGTGCAAGTCCTTATCTTCATTTTCTTTTTTTAATTTCCTAACGAAAGTCAGTATAGCAGAATCATCCCCCAGAAAGGTTATAACTGCATTCTCATTGAACTGCTTTTAAATAATTCTACATATTTTGATGTCATTAAAATTAACTACAATACATAATACAGACAGTATAATTTATAGAACAAGTTGCTTTCAAATGCTCTCCTTATCACAGAGCATTTCCTACTAACATATCATTTACCTAATGTACTGTTTTGAATCACCCTTTGCAGTTAATTGTCCTTGCCTATACCCACAGTTCAAAACCTGGTTTACAGACATACTCAGCACAGTTACATAATTCATAGAAAAGAGACCATTTCTGGTCTCTTTTTTCAATTTCAAAATGCACGAAATTGCTTAATGGATTTGCTCTCTGAGATGGACACAGGACACAATCGAGTCCTGCTTTCAATGGCTGCAGAGTGCAGTTAAAATGACACAATTCAATAATAGGGACTATTACGTTTTCTCCACTGAAATGTGAGCAAAATACTTGTTTTCTTTCTAAATTTAAGGTAATATGTAGCTAATTTAATCCAAGAAGTTGAAAGCAGTGGATACTCACTCCAAAACTCTGCACAATGTTGTCTTACAGAATGTGTACCCAAATCACAGGTAAATTAAATCCCCATTCTTAAACTTGAGCAGATCTCCCCGTTGTCTTCAGTTCAGTGAGGCAGTGAGCTGCACTGGGTTCCTCAGAAGGGCTGGGACATGACAAACTGAACTATTCACTCCTCCATGCATGAGCCATTGGTCACCGGATTTGAATGGTGAAGCTATAAAGCTCCTCTTACATTGGGGTTTATTCTCTTCAGAAAGTATAAAATCTTGGAAGCGTTTAAGGGTTCTTGAATTTGACATTTTCCCCACACACTTACAAGTCTTGTTTGCCTGTAATAAATGTGCTAAGGAATGTACTGAACGAAAACAAAACCAACCAGATTCTGCAAAACAGTGTGTCTTTCCTCATAAATACAGAGATTAATGTACTATACTTCATCCCTATTAACTGTAGTTCACTGAGTAGAGCGCGGTAATTATTCATTCAAGTTTAATTTCATGTGGCGCAACTCAATGAGAAAAACCTTCCAGAGTTGCAACAGAAAATTGAACTGGTAGGTCTGAAAGACCAGCAACAGAGGGGCACGCGTATGTTGTACGCTTGTACAACACGTGCACACCTCCAGGGAAAGCCCAGGGCTGGGCTGGGAATACAGAGGCACTTAGGGCTGATGCAGCCTGAAGGCTTTTCAAAGCCTGCCTCTAGAGATCTCTTGAGGCCCCAGCATGTTACCTCCCAAATCCGCACTGCCCTGAGTCCCGAGTGGCCTTAACACCTCTCCTGAATGGAGGCAAAGCTCTGGGAAGTCCTCCTGCCCCTGCTCTTACAGTGCCCGAAGCATCACTTGAAAAAAGGGATGCTGTAAAATGAGAGTGAGAACCTAAGTTTTGCACTTGGTATGAGGAGAGGGAAGAGGAGCATCAGGATTTGGATACTGCTGGATTGAAGCTGGTGGGAACATGGGTGTAAGGATTTGGGGACTGAAAGAACCACGGAAACCAAAAGGACATGTGCGGGGTGCTGCTGACAAGCATCATTTTTTCTGAAAGAGCTACACCGGTATCATCCTGAACACGGACAAAAATTTGCTGGTGTATTATGTACATATGCCTGTACATAAAACATACATACATATTCATGCATGTTTGTATATATATTTAGAGACAATCATAGGGTATATAACTATATAATAGATAATGATTTTTATAGGCACTATTCTATCTTTTATATTATATTATGAGAAGTCTCCCATACAGAAGTGGGGAGGCAGATGTTCTCCACTGCCTTGCACCATGAACTGACCTGCCAATTTGTGAGACAGCAGCTCATGCCTGAACCTTTCAGACAGAAAAAAATCTTAAGGGCCTTATGAAACTCCCCAGGAGCTTGTGAAGGGAATGAGAAAGTCCTTGGACTCCGAGAGGGAAGACTTGTTAAACAGTGTCTCAGAACTCATGTATATATACCTATGTAAAGGCAAAATTTATCCTTCTCCAGATGGGGACAGAAACTGAGCTAAGAAATACCCTGGTAGAAATGAGAACCTGATGGGGCCTTTGGGAGAAAGTTTGGGTAGGTAGTGAAAGAATAAATTCTTGGTGGAAAATAGCACTGAGGAAAAACACATAAAAGGGACCAAGACTTCTTCTTAGGGTGGATGAGGGGTTTTTCTGTGCTGTGCAGTCTTAGCTAATAGGCCAGCTACCCTCCCCCGCTTTTTAAAACATCTCCAAAGTCCCATCAGTCACATTAGCAAAAGCCAGACGTGATGAATAATGTAGGCTTTCCATCATGATATGCTCAAATCTTCTGTTGCTTATGAAAAGCAAAGGCTGATTTTGTTGCAGAATCAGTAAAACTGTATCATGTAGAGAAAATATTCATTTAATCAGCTCAGGCACCAATAGCCATGAAGTGATGGCAGCATGCACAGCGGTGGAGGTCAGTGACCAAATATCAAGTCCAGCCATAATTAGATATACTGGTGTGTATATTCATATAAATACATCTGCCTGTGTCTACACATCTGCAGTGAAACCTCTGGCTGCAGGACAGAGGTATCTCAAAGTGATGTAGAAATCCAAGGAGCGAGGAGGGAACCAGCTCCAGTTACCCAGAGCAGTACACAGCGCTCCGATGGTTCAGTGAGTAGGTAAGCTCTGCAGCTCCTTGCCATGGGACATGGGGACTGGTTGCATAGGTTTATAAAATTATGGGATGTTTTCTTGGAATAAAATCCATCTGTGTCTAATAAGAGATTTCCCTCTGGGTGAGGAAGGCCTTGAAATACAATTCAATGGAGGGTTGGAGGATATTCTGGGAAAGTATCACTGTTTGCTTACTTCACCTTCCTACTTTCTCCTGTACATCCACTATTGGCCATTTTTGGAGACAGGCTACCGGGCTGGCTGGATTTCTGGACTGAGCCGATACGGCTGTTGATGTCTGAAGAGGGGATCTGGAGAAGATGGAGGTGATGCCGTGGTGCAAATTCATCAGCTGCCTCCTGCCGTCTGGGACATTGCTGCTTCCTGCAAGCAGCCTGTGATGTGCAGAGATGACTACTAGTCTGTGAGAGAGGACTCCTTGCCTCTGTTAATGTTTTAGCCAAAACTTCAGCTTTTTCTGGGGCATGCAGAAGGGCCAGAACTCCCTTGAAAATCAGATCAGAGCTGAACACTGACCAGTCAGAAATCCAGCTCTACAAGGACTGCACATTAACATGCGAAAGGGCAGCATGGTGGGAGAAAACAGCATTTCTAGCATTTGAAAGATTATCAAAATAGTCGATAAAGAAACAATAACAAGAGACTGTGCCAAAGATTCAAGTCCATGCTGGCAAAGGTACTTTGCGTTATTTAACACAGTTCAAA